GAGAAAAGTTGATGTTTAAAAAGAGGCCATATATTCATATTCTAGGTACTAATATTTAAAAACGAAGTACATTCCAGAAAACAGGTTGTCTTTGTGAAAATACTTGTAAATGTTTTCCATTTGTTTCGTCTCTCACCATAATGTTTTATACATTCGGGAAAGATTCAAAGCAGATGCACTAGAAACCAATCTTTATTTTTTGCCCCACTACTAGGTAAGGGACCTGGAAACCAAGAAGTGACTGCTCATCTAATCCATAAAGCTATGTTAACAGATTGGAGGTAGTAGCATTTTCATTACCAGACTAAAACAACAGCTATTTACCCCTGATGGTGCAGCAGTACTAGTCATTCCTTAGACTTTTGTGCTTAGATTCCAACTGAAGTTGGGGGAGGTGATGTACATTTGAGAAGCCATATATCTGTTCAGAAGTAGATGAGATGTGTTAAAAGTTCCAGGTCACTTTAGAAGTCTCTCATTGTTTAAGACATTACTGGTTCTGGATTTTTTGGCATGTCTTTGGGTCTCATGTTTATTGACCCAACCCTGCAGGACCTTAAGGCTGACTGTCAGGAGCAGTTCTTATTTGGGATTCGAAATTAATTACTGAAGAAGCATTCTCTTCTAGTGAGAAAATGAATTTATGATTCAGAAGCCCCTAAAGACATGGGTACTAAGCAATGAAATATGTAAGCAGATGTTGTTGATTAACTGTCATTTTCTCTTACAGCTGTTTGCAGACAAAGTTCCAAAGACAGCAGGTTAGTTCCATTTTCTAAGTTTAACAAAGGTATTCCAATTGTATTGATTTTAGAAAGTGTGTGTATATATATATAATGTGGCTTTTTATATATGTGTGTATATATGTGCATGTGTGGTCTAAGTTTAACAAAGGTATTCCAATTGTATTGATTTTAGAAAGTGTGTGTATATATATATATATATAATGTGGCTTTTTATATATGTGTGTATATATGTGCATGTGTGGTTTTTTTTTTTTTACAGAAAACTTTCGTGCTCTGAGCACTGGAGAGAAAGGATTTGGTTATAAGGGCTCCTGCTTTCACAGAATTATTCCAGGGTTTATGTGCCAGGTATGAAATTTACTGATTTTTATTTTGGTTGCTCCCTTAATTTGGGATTCAGCCAGAATATTTGAGAATGCACGTATCTGAGGTGTTAGTCTACCATTTTGGTTCTACTTAATGTTCTATTCAGTTTGAATTCGGGTTTTAAAGTTTGAACCTTTCAGATTTGGCAGTTTCTGGTTATGTTGCCAGTAGCAACAGGTTCCCATCATATGTTCACAGGGTGGTGACTTCACACGCCATAATGGCACTGGTGGCAAGTCTATCTATGGGGAGAAATTTGATGATGAGAACTTCATCCTGAAGCATACAGGTCCTGGCATCTTGTCTATGGCAAATGCTGGACCCAATACAAATGGTTCCCAGTTTTTCATCTGCACTGCCAAGACAGACTGGTAAGGGTGAAACACAGCAAACACAATTTAAGAGTGCTACTTTTATGTAATTAGCATATATGGTTGGTCATTTGGGCAGGTCCATTCTAATTGTAAAACACTTGACAATTGGGGCCGGCCTGGTGGCACACTCAGTAGAGTGCAGCGCTTGGGAGCGTGGCGGCGCTCCCGCCGAGGGTTCGGATCCCA